CTTTTCAGACAGGACTTGCTGTTAGGCGGTGCATAGTCCTTGCCTGACGATGGGCTCTCTTCAGCACTCATTTTGAGAAGTTCCTAATCCTCAGTGTCAAACTGCGTTGGTTGTTATCACTTGTCGAGGATGGATCTGAGGATGGTTGATTTTTTTCTCCACAGCCGCTGGCTCTGTCTGTGTCCAGCTGAGAAAGTCTGATGCATTTAACTTGCGTTGCTGTGGAAACGCATGCCATTCAAACTAAAGGTTTACTTTTGAATGCGCTGAGAAACGGCTGCAAGTCCTAAGTAGCTCTGAAACAGTTGTTGTTTTGTGCTTTAGAATTTTTATGAATCCAGAGCAGAGAGGATTCATGGTGGAGGAATACTAACTTTTTGAAAAATGTTAATGAAGCATTTAGCATTTTACTTTGGACCAGATCAGAGAAAACGTTTCGAACCAAGCGGCTTCTCCACCTTTTAAACTGTCCTGCTCCACCCAGAGGCTGCTCCACCTCTGCTGCTGTGAACAAATGGTTCTATGCACACGCAGAGTTTTGAGAAAGAAGACAGAATCAAACCACTAAACTGTACATATTATTTTTCTTTGCACAGTTTGGCTCCTGGAGGAATATAACTGATACATTTCGCACTATATTTTCATCTGTCACTTTCATGATTATGAAGGTATTTTGACCCAAAAATTTCTTTTATTGAATATGTCATAATTTGAATTTGTATGACTTAAACAAAACTGGACAAAAAGCAATGAAGGCTTTTTATTGTAGACTGGGTTTAACAATGTTTACTTTGAATTGTTATTTATTGCATTCAGGGTTTCTAGTTATATGAATGATGTGGTTGTTTTCTTAATAACATTTTCTTTAAAACAATATATAACATGCCATATTTGCACAGACTCTTAGTGATGCCACAAAATACCTTTTTGCTGGCCGCAAATAGCCTGCGGGCCGCATGTTGGAAACCACGGCCTTAAAAGCATTCATATTTCATTGAATCATATTAAAAGTATTTACCAAGAAGTCTATAACAATTATAAAATGTGATGTGTACGCCAATAATTATTCTACATGACTGTCTCACTGTGAATAGAGGACAGGAAAGGACCGGCATAACACTAGGAGAAAGACAGGAGAGGACCGGCATAACACTAGGAGAAAGACAGGAGAGGACCGGCATAACACTAGGAGAAAGACAGGAGAGGACCGGCATAACACTAGGAGAAAGACAGGAGAGGACCGGAATAACACTAGGAGAATGACAGGAGAGGACCAGCATAACACTAGGAGAAAGACAGGAGGAGGACCGGCATAACACTAGGAGAAAGACAGGAGAGGACCGGCATAACACTAGGAGAAAGACAGGAGAGGACCGGCATAACACTAGGAGAAAGACAGGAGAGGACCGGCATAACACTAGGAGAAAGACAGGAGAGGACCGGCATAACACTAGGAGAAAGACAGGAGAGGACCGGCATAACACTAGGAGAAAGACAGGAGAGGACCGGAATAACACTAGGAGAATGACAGGAGAGGACCAGCATAACACTAGGAGAAAGACAGGAGAGGACCGATATAACACTAGGAGAAAGACAGGAGAGGACCGGCACAACACTAGGAGAAAGACAGGAGAGGACCGAAATAACACTAGGAGAAAGACAGAGGATCGGCATAACACTAGGAGAAAGACAGGAGAGGACCGGCATAACACTAGGAGAAAGACAGGAGAGGACCGGCACAACACTAGAAGAAAGACAGGAGAGGACCGGCACAACACTAGGAGAAAGACAGGAGAGGACCGAAATAACACTAGGAGAAAGACAGAGGATCGGCATAACACTAGGAGAAAGACAGGAGAGGACCGGCATAACACTAGGAGAAAGACAGGAGAGGACCGGCACAACACTAGGAGAAAGACAGGAAAGGACCGGCATAACACTAGGAGGAAGACAGGAGAGGACCGGCACAACACTAGGAGAAAGACAGGAGAGGACCGGCATAACACTAGGAGAAAGACAGGAGAGGACCGGCATAACACTAGGAGAAAGACAGGAGAGGACCGGCACAACACTAGGAGAAAGACAGGAGAGGACCGGAATAACACTAGGAGAAAGACAGGAGAGGACCGGAATAACACTAGGAGAAAGACAGGAGAGGACCGGAATAACACTAGGAGAAGGACACGAGAGGACCGGCATAACACTAGGAGAAAGACAGGAGAGGACCGGAATAACACTAGGAGAAGGACAGGAGAGGACCGGCATAACACTAGGAGAAAGACAGGAGAGGACCGGAATAACACTAGGAGAAAGACAGGAGAGGACCGATATAACACTAGGAGAAAGACAGGAGAGGACCGGCACAACACTAGGAGAAAGACAGGAGAGGACCGGAATAACACTAGGAGAAAGACAGGAGAGGACCGGCACAACACTAGGAGAAAGACAGGAGAGGACCGGAATAACACTAGGAGAAAGACAGGAGAGGACCGGAATAACACTAGGAGAAAGACAGAGGATCGGCATAACACTAGGAGAAAGACAGGAGAGGACCGGCATAACACTAGGAGAAAGACAGGAGAGGACCGGCATAACACTAGGAGAAAGACAGGAGAGGACCAGCATAACACTAGGAGAAAGACAGGAGAGGACCGGAATAACACTAGGAGAAAGACAGGAGAGGACCAGCATAACACTAGGAGAAAGACAGGAGAGGACCAGCATAACACTAGGAGAAAGACAGGAGAGGACCGGCACAACACTAGGAGAAAGACAGGAGAGGACCGGAATAACACTAGGAGAAAGACAGAGGATCGGCATAACACTAGGAGAAAGACAGGAGAGGACCGGCATAACACTAGGAGAAAGACAGGAGAGGACCAGCATAACACTAGGAGAAAGACAGGAGAGGACCAGCATAACACTAGGAGAAAGACAGGAGAGGACCAGCATAACACTAGGAGAAAGACAGGAGAGGACCGGAATAACATTAGGAGAAAGACAGAGGATCGGCATAACACTAGGAGAAAGACAGGAGAGGACCGGAATAACACTAGGAGAAAGACAGAGGATCGGCATAACACTAGGAGAAAGACAGGAGAGGACCGGCATAACACTAGGAGAAAGACAGGAGAGGACCGGAATAACACTAGGAGAAAGACAGGAGAGGACCGGCACAACACTAGGAGAAAGACAGGAGAGGACCGGAATAACACTAGGAGAAAGACAGAGGATCGGCATAACACTAGGAGAAAGACAGGAGAGGACCGGCACAACACTAGGAGAAAGACAGGAGAGGACAAGCATAACACTAGGAGAAAGACAGGAGAGGACCGGCATAACACTAGGAGAAAGACAGGAGAGGACCAGCATAACACTAGGAGAAAGACAGGAGAGGACCGGCACAACACTAGGAGAAAGACAGGAGAGGACCGGCATAACACTAGGAGAAAGACAGGAGAGGACCAGCATAACACTAGGAGAAAGACAGGAGAGGACCGATATAACAGGCCGTTTTATACCCCCTGGCCAGTTTATACCCTGGGTATAAAATAGCCTCGGCCAGAAAAAAAACTTCAAAATTATTTAAAATCACCATTGACCACGCGTCACCATTGACTGTCAATGCAAAGTCAATGGTGACGCGCGTTCCAGCGTCGAACTGCATGTGCGTCTCGGGATGCACGCACGGACTGCGCGACAAAGGCGCGGCAGAGGCGCAGGAACGGAAAATCGACGCACGCAAGAGATAAGTATTGCTGAGCGATTCCTTGGGACGCTTGTGCAGCGACCAATCAGAGAGCTGCAAAGTGGTCACGGGGACATTAGTGGTCTGAGCGAGCAGACTAAACCAGGACTAAACCAGGACTAAACCAAGGTTGACAATGGGGGGCATAGTGCTTGTGAAGATTATGCATTTTCATGCTCCTGTGATTGTATAGAACTGCTTCGAGCGTGTTCCCCGATTCGGAAGTACCGTTTAATAATAAAATAAACGTATGGCACCTCTATGAACACATACTGCTGTTATATAAAGTCTCTGGAAGGTCTCTGGACACAGAGACGCTGCAGATCTGCATTATTGGAGAAGAACTTTACACAAAAAGCTGCTACCTTAACTCCGTTAGCATGAAAGTCACGACTTCAGACTTCTGGTCTGAAGACCCTTGCATCTGAGAATTAGAGAATGGTGCGCGAGGCATCAACGTTACAGCGTCGGCGGTGTGAAAGCACTTTAAGAGTTAGTGACCTGGATTTTATTACATACTGTAGTTGTATTTATTGTGGTTTGAAAGTTTTAAATCGACCCGGTGGCTGCAGCTTTACTTTGCACAATGCAGTTTAGAGCCTGCAAAAGGATAAATTACATATGATGAGCTTCTGTCCTAATCTCCCCTCACATTCATCTTCATTCTGCAAAACAACAGTTTCCATCTCTCCTCATAAAGAAAGAGACCCACATTTATATATCTATTTTTTTACTCTTTCAAATTAGATGAAAGTTCCCTGCGGCCGGTGATTGAGATTGTATTGGTTTCCTGAAGTTTGTTTGGAACCGTAATGACCGGTCTGTGCTGCAAATGCAAACATGGTCAAGTGAAAAAACCACAAAGCAGAGGTGGGAGGAGAAAGGAGAGGAGAAAGGAGAGAGGAGAGAGGAGACAGGAGAGAGAGAAAAAAGAGACGAGAGAGGAGGAGAGGAGAGAGGGGAGAAAACAGAGGAAAGAAGAGAGGAGAGAGAGGACAGCCAAGAAGAGAGGAGAGGAGAGACAAGGGAGATGAGAGAGGACCAGGGAAAACGTGATCATGTAAGAAAACCACAGAACAGAGATAGGAGAGGAGAGAGAGACGGAGAACCAGAGCAAACATGGTCATGTGAGAAACCACAGAACAGAAAGGAAAAAGGACCAGGGCTCACAACACTCGTAAAACTGTCATTTTCACTTCCTCATTTCCTATGGGAGCATTTGTTTTCACCATAAATATATTTAACACTGTTATTATATCAGCCCGTCGCCCTTCTCAAAGCACCACAGGGATAAGCTCTATCCAAATATATGTTTACGAGTCAGGAGAAGAGCAAGTTACTCAAAGTACAATTCAACACCACTTCTTTTCAGACCTAATCAGGGTCTGCTCGTTCATTACAACTGGGACAAAGTAGTCACTGTTGTAATATACAGTTTTCACTCTGAAGAAAGTCCACAATAAAGTCCATAAAGTCCACAAACTCTGCCAGCTACTCTACTACAATATGAGTTTAAGTTTATTAAGGAAAACCCCTTGAGATTAATCATCTAATTTTCAAGGGGGTCCTAAACATAAATACAAACATAAACAAACACGCATGCACAAAAACAATTTACAGCGAATTAAAGATGAGAAAAGATATTTAAACACACACAAAAACAAAACAACAACAAAAATTAAACAAAACAAATGCTCTTTCGCACCCCACTCCTCCCCTCTGCTGAAATTGAACATTTAGAAGAAAAAAAAAGTCAAACTAGTAACAATAATGACACAGAACACATAACATTAGCGACATAAACAAGGAGTTGGAAGGAACCTAAATAATTCAAACTTCAATAAACCATATGACAGAATGGATCGTATGGATGTGGGGAGTTTATTCCAGTCTGAGGGAGCCTTGTACTGAAATAATCTGCGTCCAACTTCTTTAAAAACTCTTGGAACAGAAAAAGTGGGACAATCAGAGAGTAGTAGAGAAATAGGTGTAGAGACAGGGATAAAAAACAGTTTTAAATATTGTGGACAACTAAAGTGAATACATTTAAGTAATAAGTGCATCCAGTGAAGGTGACGTCTGTTGTGAGGCTGAAGCCATTGAAGGTGACGTCTGTTGTGAGGCTGAAGCCAGTGAAGGTGACGTCTGTTGTGAGGCTGAAGCCAGTGAAGGTGACGTCTGTTGTGAGGCTGAAGCCAGTGAAGGTGACGTCTGTTGTGAGGCTGAAGCCAGTGAAGGTGACGTCTGTTGTGAGGCTGAAGCCAGTGAAGGTGACGTCTGTTGTGAGGCTGAAGCCAGTGAAGGTGACGTCTGTTGTGAGGCTGAAGCCAGTGAAGGTGACGTCTGTTGTGAGGCTGAAGCCAGTGAAGGTGACGTCTGTTGTGAGGCTGAAGCCAGTGAAGGTGACGTCTGTTGTGAGGCTGAAGCCAGTGAAGGTGACGTCTGTTGTGAGGCTGAAGCCTGTGAAGGTGACGTCTGTTGTGAGGCTGAAGCCAGTGAAGGTGACGTCAGTTGTGCGGCTGAAGCCAGTGAAGGGTCTCGTTCAGAGTGCAGTGATGTGTGTGATACGGACATTTGAGGATGAATCTACAAAGACAGTTAAAAAGTGTATGGAGTGGTTTGAGATGGGAGGGAATGTGTTTTGAGAAATGACGTCAACGTAATCGATGATGGGGAGAACCAGTTGTGTAATTATTTGTTTTCTGACGTTGAGGGTAAAGAGATGATCGGAATAATGGGCCCTTTGTGGCGGAAGTTCTTCTAATGATGGAGTTGACTTGGGGTTTGAAGTTAAGTTCAGGGTCTAACCAGAGGCCGAGGTATTTTATAGTGTCTGCGTTGTGCATTTTGGAACCGTCGTTAAAGTGAATACGGAGATCAGGGGAGTGGAGTAATTTATGATGATAGCCAAACAGTATACAGCAAGATTTTTTCATGTTTAAAATTAATTTATTGTTTGAGAGCCAGTTTTGTGATGTCAGAGTTTGAGTTGTAAATAACTGTGTCATCGGTGTAGATATTTATGGACCAATTGTAAATGACGTGTGGGAGTTCATTAATAAAAATGGAAAAAAGAAGGGGGCCTAATGTGGAACCCTGTGGAACACCCTTTTCAACTATAGCTCTCCCTGATTGTGCACCATGTGAAACAACATATTGAAATCGACTGTGAAGATGTGAATTGAACCAAAGAAGAGCATTTCTGTCAAGGCCTATAGCGTTGAGTTTGTCAAGGAGTAAATATTGGTCAACGAGATCAAAGTCTTTGGACAGATCAAGGAATATAGAGCCCACAAACATATTTTTATCAAAAGAAGAAAAAACATCATTCGTGAATTTTAACAAAGCAGTAGTGGTAGAGAACCCTGAACGATTCGCTTTAGTTCCCTCTTCTCTTCCTCACTGTTGCGTCGTTTGGGCTGTTTTGCTGTATATGCCATTACAGAAAGAGGAGTTATAGCCAATTCTGCTAACATGCTACTGTGTTTAGCAGCACTGTAGAGGCTAGAGGACGCCTCCTCCACTCGTTCTGTGATTGGAGGAGAACAAGCATCGTGCTAAGTTTCTACTCAAGTTTTCAATTAAATTATGGATTTTAATACTACTTGTACGTAGTAATACGCATTTTTATGAACTCATTGGAAAAGAAATCGGGTAGGATCATTTTGAATTAAACATATTATCCCCATAGGGAAATGTGTCCTCTGCATTTGACCCATCCTTCACTGGGCCCTCTGTGGGAAATCTACACAGAGAGAACATGCAAACTCCACTCAGAAAGGCCCTGTTCTGACTTTCTTGCCTATGACTGTGGAGCAGAACGCTGCATTCTTCTGTGTCTCTAAAGCATATCATTATCAGAGTTACAATAGGGGCGACAGTGGCTCAGTTGGTAGAGCATTGGCCTTTTGGGCCTGAAGGTGGTGAGTTTGGGCTCACCGCAAGATCTACTTCATGACTCCCACTGATGACTGCTGTCGTTGTGTCCTTGGGCAAGACACTTAACCCCACTTTGCCTGAATCCCCTGCTGGTGCTCTATGAACTGGGTGCAGCTCTGACTGCCACCCCCCGACCCAGAAATGGATTAAGGGGGAGAAAATGGATGGATGGACTGATTACAATAGGTCCCTTTACTCTCACTGTGACCTCATCTGAAATACAGTGGTCCCTGGTTTATCGCGGGGGTAATGTGTTCTAAATATAACCTACAATAACTGAAATCCTCTCATTAGCAGCTGAATGTCTTAAGTCTGTAAAACCCTTCACACACACTTTATACACTTTTTCTAACTACCTGAACTCACGACGGCTGAAAAGATCTCAATCCTGTTGTAGGTCTGAGCGCTGCTACAGCTGTCAAAAGCCGTGCATTCATTGCAGAAGACAGAGGGGCAGGACCACTGTATTCAAAAATAACCGTGATTGATATGACAGAGGTACACCGTGAACTCAAAGATTCTGGTCCCTTGAATATTGTCTCTTGTTGCATCGAAGTCCGATTCGTGAAGGCCAGAGTCTACACATCATCCAGTTATTCTCAACAGTGGAAAAACAACTTTGCGTGTGTGAATTACAACGGGATAACGCGGTCAAAGCTGTGAAAGGTCGATTACTGTATATCCCCTTCTCTCTTTCTTCAGGGTTTTCCATCACTGTGGTGTGTTCATTTGTCAGTGTGATAACGGTAGCAGTCCTCCTCCCTCATCCATCCTCTGGGACTGTGCAGTGTCTCAGTTACGGGAGGCGGTCAGAGATAATCCCGAACATTCATATTTCTGTGTGAGGAACGCAGAGTAATGAGACGCCATCGCGGCTGCAGGGGTCACACGGGCATTTACAAGAGTTGTCTGGATTTTCAACTCTGTCCATTTAGACGTGGGTTTGAGGGACAAGAACAGGGTGTGAAGGTGTTTCAAAGGATATTGTAACAGCCTCAGTCCTGGGTCTACAGCCTCAGTCCTGAATCTACAGCCTCAGTCCTGGGTCTACAGCCTCAGTCCTGGATCTACAGCCTCAGTCCTGGATCTACAGCCTCAGACCTGAATCTACAACCTCAGTCCTGGGTCTACAGCCTCAGTCCTAGATCTACAGCCTCAGTCCTGGATCTACAACCTCAGACCTGAATCTACAGCCTCAGTCCTGGGTCTACAGCCTCAGTCCTAGATCTACAGCCTCAGTCCGGGATCTACAGCCTCAGTCCTGAATCTACAGCCTCAGTCCTGGGTCTACAGCCTCAGTCCTGGATCTACAGCCTCAGTCCTGGATCTACAGCCTCAGTCCTGGATCTACAGCCTCAGTCCTGGATCTACAGCCTCAGTCCTGGATCTACAGCCTCAGTCCTGGGTCTGCAGCCTCAGTCCTTAATCTATTGCCTCAGTCTTGGATCCACCGCCTCAGTCCTGGATAGCCAATCTGTCTGTGGGAATAAATCCCTCTCCCAATTTGGGCCTCCTCGAGGTTTCTCACTTTTATCCCCACCAGGCTTTTTATTGTTGTTCGTTGCGTTGCAGGAGGGTCTATGGACAGAACAACAGATCAGAAAATCAAACCATGCAAAAATAACAAATACAGAGGCATTAGTCCATTGGGAGCGTGATGACCACTGTCCATAAATATGAACAAATATGTCGGATCATTACTGTCCTGCATCCTGCAAACAAAAAGTGAGAAACCACATGAATGTCCACATTTAAAGAGGAATTCGCTCCAAGATGTAGATCCAGGACTGAAGCTGTAGGTCCAGGGTTGATGTTGTAGATCCAGGACTAAAGAGGCTCCCAGGAAGTATCATCGCAATCTGAACTAGTCCTCAAATTTTGGCGTAAAATGTTAAAGTTGTTATGATTACATTCTTAGTCTTGATCTACTAGTCTACAAAGATGAAGTGTATTTTCATGACTGACACCTGGAAGTGAAGACGTGTCCTATTCCACGACTAATTACCAGGAGAACGGTGTAATTAGGAGACTCGGGGAATCCTCTTATGGATCTCATGTTTGTCGTTACTGCAGAGATTTGGAGCAGTCAGAGTTATATAAGAGAGAATGTAATCTGAAGTAAAGAGCTTTAGAATCCCACAGTCACCGTGAATCGACACAAACACCCTGGACGTCACACGGGGTGAAATTGGGGTTTTGCGGTCAGCGAACTAAAAATAACAAAACTGCATTTGTCAATCTTAGACTTTAATGGTCCGCAGTAGGAAAGGTCCAGGTATCCAGCAGCAGAAACACATCCATAAATACATCATTCTAAAAGTTACTAACAATAGTAATAAAGTGCGACAACACTTTAGGTCTCAGCAGCAGAAGTGGAACAGCTTCATATCCTCTGGTTTATGCACAGTCTGCTTGTTTTTCGGACCATCTTCCCTGCTCTGGTTCAGAGTAACATTGGTTCGACCAGTGCATTCTTTCTGCTCTGGTCTGGATCAGAGTAAAACCATGAACACGGCACTCCAGTACAGCTAGCACAGAACAACAACTGTTTCAAAGCTACTGAGGACTTTCTGCTGTTTCAATCGCATTCAAAAGAGTTGTAGTTAGTAGTTTGCATGTTCTCTCAGTGTCTATAGAGCTGATGTGTAGATAGATTTTTTTACTGTGCACATCATTTGTGCTATAAAGGTCATAGTGATAGATTACTTAAATAAAGAATCTTTATTTAATGAACCTTTGCTGCATACATCACATTAAAGCACAGGAGAAATAAATAGATAAATAAAAAGTGCTTGATGGGCCAATTTCATTGTAATATACATTTTCTAAAATAATGTTTGCAAATGGGACAAGTAGCATTTGTCACATTTCAAGCACAGTAACAGTGTTGTAACTTCATATTTCTGGTCAGTACAGGACCCACACTGATGATGTCATCCATGCGTCCATTAGACTGAGCGATGATGTCATCGTGTTGAAAAAGTTCCTTATTTAACGTTTCTCAATTCGAGTCTCAGTTTAGATTGTATGTAAATGGATAATCTTAACCCTCTAACTCAATGAAGCCCAATAGGGAAGTGCTCATGGATGAGGTTTTCTCCCTCTCTCTCTGGCTCCTCTAGACGTTGTTTCTGTCACCATTTTGGGCTTAAATATGTGGTTTATGTGGTTTGAAAGCCCCCTCCTCACTGTTAATGGTCCGTGTGCCCCACTTCCTTTTTCAATCACTTCTCATATCAATCTTTTGTATTAATGTTCTTCTGACCCTGCTATTTTTGCCTTGTCGCAGCCCATTACATGATTTTCTCTTTTGCAGTGGTCAGATATCAGCAAAATCTGACCAGTGCAAAAGCGAGACACGTCACACCATCACATGTCTCCTCTGACAAAGGCGGAAGTCTAACACCGAAACTTGTAATTAAGCAGGTAATTACTAGCTTCTAAAAGGAACCTTCTAAGCATCAACTGAGATCAATTTTGTCGATTTAGAATACAGACTTTTATATCTTAGAATACACAAGGCGTACTCACATATTAGGCAATGGTCTGGCCTGGTCTGGTCTGGTCTGGAGTATGAGGAGAAGTTCCAAGTGGGTGACCTTTAGTGTTGAAGGGTGATGCATTCATTTGACCTTCACTTTAACACAGATACAACAACCCAAAAAAGTTCATTTCTCTTTAGCTTTTTTGGGACTGTCTTGGATCGACACATTTCATGCTTTCTTTAAATAACATTGTACTTTTCAAGCCTCATTTTCCATTAAACAGGACATGAATCACATGAGAAACCTATCAAAGCGTAAGTACCTGGCTTTCAATCCACTCAACAATAAACTATTGTTTTAGCCTCTGTCACATCTTTAGATCAACTTTGTCAGACAGAAAAGAGACAAAGAGAGGACCACCC